AGCCAGTTGGCAGAATCGTTGGTAGTATTATGAGACTGGGGCTGCCCCTTGTCTTAGATGGAGGAATTCCTCGCATGTGGCGGCTTTCAGGTGGTTGGGGTAGAACTGTTCTCGTAACCGTGTTTTTAGGCCTTCCCAGTTGAATCTGGGGTCTTGTTCGTACGTAGGTCCCTCACGGGCCCACCGGATGTCGGCCTCGTGTCTGAAGTAGAAGGAGGTTATCCCGACTTGGTGGTGTTCGGGGCATTGGGTTGCCCTGAATACCCTGTCGAAGGTCTCAATCCATTCTTCGAGGGTCGTGGGGTCTTCATCTCCCGAGAAGGTGGGTGGTTGGTGTGCCGAGACTCGGTGGTGGATTTCCAAGTTCTCGTATGTTGGTAGAGGTTGGGGAATGATAGTACTTAGTGCCTGGGCGATTTGGGCCAGGCGTTGTAGATTCTGGGTCAGGAATTCCTGAGTAGGGCGTCTCGGTGTTCCTGTCTGTTTCTTCTTGGGTGCCATCCTGGTGTTTAAAGGTTGATATTACTTTGTGTTTTCACTTTGATGTAATAAGCGGAGGAGAGTTTCTTAATATTAGAGAGGGATGAAGTGAGGGGAGGTGATGTGTAGGTTTCTCAATCTCACCGTGCGTCCTAAGATTCCTAAGACCTATGTTCCTAAGTACCTAGAGTTCAAGCCTAATGTCCTAAAGTCCGATCTTACGAGTCTTTTCCTAGGGTCAAACTTAGGCTCTGATACCAACTGTAACACCCCAGATTTTCAAGACTTTTTAAAACTTATAATAAAGGTAGAATCCCATTAAATCCCAAGAAATAAATACAAGCGTACGGGGTGCTATGCCACACCTGGGCTAGAGAACCCAAGTGCACAGGCTAACTAACTAATATCCTCAAAGCGTAATTACGTAAACGTGGCACGCAGGCCAAAAGGGAAAACTATCTACTTCTATACTTCAAGTTCTAGCGTGCTCCAGTGACTTAATCTTCTGTGCCTGAAAGCCAAATATATCTGTTCAGCGAGAGATGCTGGTAACCCACTCCAACGCGTTGAAATACAATACATATAGAGATATATATAGATATACGAAAACCATTTTGAGCATGAAGATATATCCTACGAACTCTAGCTTTAAAACCGGGAATGACTCGACAGATAAGGCCAGACACAAGCAACAGTCATAACGAGCATATGCAGTTTCACAATAGATAAGGCAGATAAGGCAAAGCATAAACAATGATCATAACCCAATATGAACAATCCCCAATATAAATCCCATAGTCACATCTCCCAAGACACTCGTAATTCCAACTCGTCCATGTCACCGCACATAACACACTTTGTTGGCGCCACAGGACCAATCGCATGCCCATACATGAGGGTCAGCGCATATAGCTCTGACACGGCCCCGCAGCACCCTGGCCCGTATCGCAACACGGAGGGGTCGATCGCAACCGACCGATGAACCGCAGCTCATCATAGTGTTTGATCGCAACCAAACAGTGGACCGCAGCCCAAGAGAATGTCATCTGACCGCAGCCCAAGAGAATGTCATCTGACCGCAGCCAGGAAAAAGGACGAACCGCAGCTCGTATAGAAACGTTTGATCGCAACCAAACGGTGGACCGCAGCCCAAGAGTATCAATCTGACCGCAGCCAGCTTCTGAACCGCAGCTCAGGAAAAACCAATCCGATCGCAACCGAATTGGGGTAACACACACACATAACACATAGCAAGCACATGCAACCCATATTACACATTGGGAAGGGGGAGAAAGCGCATAACAAAACCTATGCGTGATCCATCACATACTAAGAATAGTCCTAAGGGGTTCATACTCCTTCCACCTAGGTCAACGGGATACCAATTCAATTAGCATGCAATATAATAGACTCATAAACCTACGAACGGTACCCGAAACATCAAACTAGACATAGGCACGATAAACGGAGTCCGTTGGGACACCACGGGGAACGGGGGAACATCAAACGGGGAAGCCGGGATCCCAAGGTGGGATAATTTCCAGCGGGTAGCCGGTGGGTAGGGGGCCACCCTCCGGCTGCCCGCCGGAATTACTGTTCCGGGCAGCGGGTCGCCGGCGGGCAGCTGCCCGCCCGCCGGCTACCGGCTGCCGGGCGGTGTTTCATGGCCGTGGGTAGGTGGCGGGTCCCCTACCCCCCACCTACCCCCCACTGACTCTTTTCACACACTTTACGCCCCGGGAACCGTTGTGGAACCCGAAACCATGCTTAGACACTTTACTATGAAATTAACGATAACATGTAGCCAATTAACGAATCAAATACAAGAAACGAACGGCACATAACCTATCATGCTTTTCTAAATATAATCAACACCCAAACATGCGATTTCCCCACCCGATAACCCAAGAATAAGATCATACGATACAACCTAGGGTTCTAATCACTTTTATATCAACAGGAATACGGTTCGTCTTCTAATTGCAAGATTCGGTAAGAATAACACATAAGCATCAAGAACATCACACAATTATCAGGAACAACACATGATTATCACGAACTCCATATAATCATCAAGAACACCATAATTATCAAGAATCTCCCAATATCAGGATCATCAAGATCCCCCATGGGATCATCACATCAATTACCAATAATAATCATCATAACTCGCCAATATACAATAATATGGGGAAACCCTAAGGGGGAATTATAACTATGAAAATAGGTTTTGTTGAGACATGGGTTACCTCTTAGCCTTAATTAATTCCTTGGCTATGAAGGATCTTTCTTTAAGCTTTCTTGATTTCTTGATTTCTCCTAGGGGAATTCTTGGAGCTCTTTGGGTGGTGAGAGATTATTGTGGTGGGGATTCTAGGTGCCTCCTAAGTTCCCTATTTATAGATCTAGGGATCTTATTTAGAGTCTAATCCTATTGGGATTAGGGGTTGGGTTTAGATATGAGGGCCCACGGACTATGGTGGGCCTTTTTCCCTAATTAATCATTATAATTTATTCTTTCCCTTGGGCTATTGATTAATTAACTAATTGGTTTTAGGACTCGTAACACGGGGTGTTACATATTCACCAGTAACAAAGATAGCTACTATACGCGTTCTTTTTGCTTTAGCATCTTTACATAGGTTGATAGTACATCAGATGGATGTAAAAAAAACCTTTTTAAATGGTGAACTAGAGGAGGAGATCTACATGGAACAACCCCCTGGATGTGTAGAACCAGGACAAGAAGGGAAGGTATGCAGACTTAAGAGATCTCTTTATGGCTTGAAACAAGCTCCCAAGCAGTGGTATGAAAAGTTTCACAAAACTTTGTTAGAGCTAGGTTATTCTACTAACCGCTCAGATGCCTGCTTATACACCAAAGAGATAGAGTCTAGCATCGTAATAATCTGTCTCTATGTAGATGACATGCTTATCTTTAGCTCAAGTATAGGAGCTATAAAAGAGACTAAAAGAACTCTATGTGACAAGTTTGATATGAAAGATCTAGGGGAGGCTAATGTAATACTCGGGATAAAGGTTACAAAAACTGAGAAAGGTTATCTTTTATCCCAAAGTCATTACACGGAGAAACTCCTGAAGAGGTTTGAGAGTTATGAGGTAACTCCAGCTAAAACCCCCTATGATCCCAGCGTCAAGTTATCAAAGAACATAGAGGCCAGTGTGTCTCAAGAAGAATATGCAAAGATAATTGGGAGTCTAATGTTCTTGATGAACTATACTAGACCAGATCTTACATTTGCGGTGAATAAACTCAGTCGGTATACTCACAACCCTGGCATCTCACATTGGGATGCACTAAGAAGGGTACTTCGGTATCTAAGAGGCACAATAGACTGGGGCCTTAACTACAAAGGACACCCAGCTGTGCTCGAGGGGTTCTGTGATGCAAACTGGGTAAATGACACTAATGACGTAAGCTCAACTAGTGGATACGTGTTCACTATGTGTGGAGCTGCGATATCGTGGAAGTCGACCAAACAATCCTGTATAGCTAGATCAACTATGGAATCAGAGTTCATAGCACTAGATCTAGCAAGTCAGGAAGCTGAATGGCTGAGAAATCTTTTGGCAGACGTGCCATTGTGGGGCTGCCCAGCACCTGCTGTTCCCATACATTGTGATTCCCAGACTGCCATCTGTGTTGCGCAGAACAGTGTCTACAATGGGAAACGTAGACACATAAGAGTCAGACATGAGTCTGTAAGGCAGTTAATACTAAATGGGGTAATCACAATGGTCTTTGTGAGGTCTGAAAGGAATATTGCTGATCCTTTCACGAAGGGCCTAAACAGGAAGGCCGTCCTTGATACGTCAAGGGAAATGGGTTTGGGACCCATAGATACTCTGTAGCCAGTCATGGTGGTCTGCGATGAGGTAGACTTGACAGAGTTGAAGGTCTATCCTAGAATAGACCTAACAGGGGATATCTCAGGGTCGTGAGTGTGACCTCATGAGATTCAAGGCGACCAAAGCAAATTAAGTGCATTGAGTTCAAACTTTGTCTATTCGATGAGTTCAAGATCAAATTCACTCCCGTCTAGAGAAGTACTTAATGTCACTATATGACAGTTCAAGTTTTATACACTGGCATGAAAATTTGTTTTGATCGTTATCAGGCAATGACAGCATCAGCCTAAATCCCTTTAATGGTGGTGGATTGTTGGGAGCATTTAAAGGGAAAGGCTTACTTTTGCCTTCCCATGTTGTCCCACATTGGAAGTTTAGCCTCTTGTTACCTTACTTATATACTCCAAGGCTTTTCATCTAACTTGAAGTGTTATGAGAAGGGAAAAGAGGTAGACCACGCGCACGCCGCCGCCGCCGCCCGCACGGCACGGCACGGGGTTGGGTCAACATTTTGCTCTACGTATTAAATTTCACACCCTATTTTTATGGATCATTGTAATGACCTGGACAGAATTTGTCCTCATCCTTTCTTTTAGCGCTACATTTGTGGTAGTGTGAGGTGGGGTGCTGTAATGGGATGCATCATTACACTATAAATAGGCGACATTAGACAAAGGGAAAAACGCACCACTAACAGTAAACACTTCTACTGTTTGCGTCTCTTTCCCTCTGTGTTCTTCTGGTTTGCTGTTCTGTTTTGCTGGTCGGAAACATACGAATCAATCCCAGGTCGTGAATGTTTTTAAGGCAGTGTGTTGCACATGATACAGAACTCTAATCTGAGTCCCTTTTTCCCACAATTCTCGTCCCTACTAGCAGAAAATACAACAGTTAGTACACTAAACAAAAATTATGCATGAATATATGTCTCGGATGATCTCTTTTATAGAGTCATGCAAATAGACCAGTTAACCAAATTAGTCTGACTAGTTATATAAGTTCGTTGTGACGATTCTACCTAGAAATGAATTTAAGTTACCTTGATTAACCATTTGGTCAACTCCTTTGAACACAAAAGTGTTCAAAACATTTGGAGAAACATCAAGCCAAATGAAGCAGCCGTGGTAGTTGGACTTGAACTTCAAGTCAGTGTCCTCCACCAGGGCTTCAATGAAACAATTTGACCCTCCGACGACGATCGGAACCGTGCCGGAGTTGAGGATTCGCTCGATCATCGACGTGGCCTGGAAGCAAAAGTCGCGGGCAGTGTATTCTTCATCGGGGTTCCCAACATGCCCAAGCAAATGATGAGGCACGCCAAGCATCTCGACTTCAGGAATCTTGTTATCCAGAACGTCAAGCCCTCTATAAACCTGAATCTTGTCGGAGTTGATTATCTCTCCTCCAATGCGGGCGGCAAGGCTGACAGACAGCTTCGATTTTCCCGATCCGGTGGCTCCCATGATGAACGCCACCACCTTCTTGTTCACAGCGTTCATCGCCATCTTCAGTGAATCGATTGCCTGCCGACGCCTGCCTGTTTGATCTGTTCATAGCAAATGAAAATGGGGGTATGGGTGAGGGTATATATATTTCTATAGGAGTGACGAGTATGGCAAGTGAATATTAATAGATATGCGAATTTAGTAAAAAATTAACTTATTTTTTTTCTAATTTTATTAATTCAATTTAGTATCCTAATTTGTTAAATTATTAAATGATTTATTGAGAAAATGTATTGTTCAACTTTTTATTTAATTTAAAATTAGTACAATATTTATATATATACCAAAAATATAGATACATTTGATCATTTGTACAAACTGGGATGAACCCAAAATTTTATTTTGGGCAGAAAATATTTTTAACTAATTAAGGAGCTTTACTGAAGACAGTCAATGGCTCTCCAAATCAGTTTTGATTTTAATTTAACATAAATATTAGAGTAGTAACACTTTTTAGTTAAACTGTACGGAGTAATTTTTTATATGCACCTCTAAAAAGTAGGAAAAAGTGTCAAATTGGCCCCCTAAGTCGAGTGGATAGTGCAATTGGGTCCCCTAAGTGAAAAAAGCTCCATTTAGGTCCCCTAAACCTGTAAAATTGTTCAATTAACTCCAAGTTGACTTGTTTATCAGGTTAAATGCATATGGTGTTGACACGTGTCCTTATTTTATTTTTTTATTAAAAATATTATTTATTGTAAATTAATTATAATAATAATAATAATTATTATATATATATATATATATATATATATATATATATATATATATATATATATATATATATATATATATATATATATATATATATATATATATATATAAATAGCCGTGGCCGGACGGCCACGACCGACGAAGGAAGACGGCCATGGTCGTCTTCTAGATATGGACGAGGGCTACTACCTTCGCCGCTGCCCTCGTTCCAGACCGAGGGGACTGGAACGTCCGGCCACGGCTGTTCTTGAAGAAGGAAGACAGCCACCGACTGTCCGGCGTGGACAGCCAGTGGCTTTTTTTTTTTAATTTTTAATTTTTCAATTATTATTATTATAATTAATTTATAATAAATAATATTTTTAATAAAAAAATAAAATAAAGACACGTGTCAACACCGTATGCATTTAACCCGATAAACAAGTCAATTTGGACTTAATTGAACAATTTTACAGGTTTAGGAGACTTGAATGGAACTTTTTTCACTTAGGGGACCTAATTGCACTATCCACTCGACTTAGGTGGCCAATTTGACACCTTTTCCCTAAAAAGTATTATAGGTCTCATATTAAGACTATAATACAAGACTTCTTTTTATGATAATCATTTCAAGGTCACTATTATTTTCTCATAATTTCAAATGTTATTATTTAAAAGTCATTGTTACTCCAAAATTTTTACCGCGGTTTTAAATGCTTCAAACACAACTTTTCAAATGAAACCTACACTCATACAAGCATATTGTTTTTAGAAGTATTGTATGAATCAAATTAACCACTCACCAAACATGTTACGTTGCTCATTTTTTAAATTTAAATATAATGTGCTACGGATCATTATTTTTAAATGATGTAAATATATGTATAGATGTTGGGATTATACCTCTAGACCCGACCCAGTGGAGTGGGTATATTGAGTCTAACCTACTTGGAATAGCCAAGGAGTTGAGAAAGCGCAAATTATGCCGTGGAAACGTGCTCACCATGCTTGGTGAACACGCTTCCAAACGACATCGTTTTTGGCGTCGTTTTAAAAAAAAAAAAAAAAAAAAAAAACATTGTTCTATTAACGGCGTTAGGAAGGCAGTTATGATCAGACAACTCTTTGCGTTTGATTCTTTCCTATTCGCAAATCTCTGAAGGCAATTGTGATCCGACATTCGCGATTCTTTCCTATTCGCGATGGAGGAGACGACAGTTCGAGGAGAAGATTCAACCGATATGATTTCTGCGATTCCAGGTTGCGTTCGATTTTATGCGTTTGATTTCGTTTGATTTATGAGATCATGGATTGTTGAAGATTTAGTTATTTTTATTGGTATTTGTTCAGTATCTATGCAGTTTGAATGTTCATAATGGCCGTAAATGTGTATTAGTTCCATGTTTCTGTTATGAATTTTACATAATGCAATTATGTATTTTCTGTTACAGAGTTATGAATTTTGATACTCTGTTCATGCATGTGATATGAATATTCATAATGTAATAGTACTATGTCCATAACATATTAACTGGTATGTTACACTGCTTGCATATACTCAGTGAATGAAGATTGTGTTGGTGATTCAATAAGCAATGATCAAGCAGAGTTAAACATTGACATTGATGGCTCGTCTTCAAGTCCAGGTTCTTTTTATTAGTTGGTGTATCATGAATGTTGTTTCTGGTAGGTGTAGGTACTGATTCATGGTGATTATATGCAAATTGAATGTTGTGATTGGTATTAATAATTTGTTCACGTTATGAATTTACAGTTTTGAGGTTATGAATTTTCCGTTATGTTATTATGAATTTTCTATATGAGATTATGAATTTTCCATATGAGGTTATGAATTTTATGTTATGAGTTTATGCATTTCATGCCATGAGTATCTATGCAACTTTGAATGCTCATAATGTCACAAATGTTATTGATACCCGGTCTTTGTTATGAACTTTCTTATATGATGTTATGAATTTTATTCTTTGTGATTATGAATGTTCTCACATGAGATTATGAATTCTATAGTGTAGCATATTATATTCATTATAGGTGAAATCCACATTCATATTTTAGTAGTTGGTATAGGTGTGGTTATATTTTTGTTGCAATTGCAGTTGATGAAGACTTGGTGGGTGTTGTAGTAAGAAATGTTGACGAAGCTTTTGAGTTATATAATGGATATGCATACAGAGTTGGTTTTAGTGTGAGTAAAGGCCAACAACGTTATAAGGCATCTACTAAGTCAATTCAGATGAAGAGGTTCTTCTGTGCTAAGGCTGGGTATAAGCAGAAACCAAACAGTGGTGTTAAGCTTTATTCAAAGATTGATATGAGGACTGGATGTGGTGCATTTGTTCAATTTGATGTGGGGGGTGATGGGATGTGGACAGTTACAAAACACTTGAAAGAGCACAATCACGAGTTATGTTCATTTGGCAAGAGTCATCTGCTTCGGTCGCATAGAAGAGTGGGAAACAATCAGCTTGAATATTTAAAAGACATGAAGAGTAGTGGTGTTGCATTGGCGGATGGTATGAGGTTTTTGAAACATCAGTCAGGGGGTTCTCCATTGGTTGGCTTTACCAACCGCGATGCTTACAATTCGATGGCTTCTGTGAGTTTGAAGTGTTTGGATGGATCTGATTCTAATTCTTTGATTGAGATATTCAGGAGGAGGCAATCTAATGAGGCTGATTTCTTTTTTGATTTCGAAGTTGATTTGGATGGAAGATTGTGTAGTTTTTTTTGGAGGGATGGTCAAATGAGAAGGGATTATGAGGTGTTTGGTGATCTGTTAGTGCATGATACAACATACCGCACTAACAAATATGATATGATTTGTGGTCCTTTTGTAGGGATGAACCATCACTGCATGAATGTAATGTTTGGTTGTGGTTTTTTGATGAATGAGAGGATAGAGTCATTTGCGTGGTTGTTTAGAGTGTTTTTAAGATCCATGGATGGCAAGTGTCCACAGACTATCATGACGGATCAATGTTCAGCTATGGCTGCTGGCATTTCCATGGTGTTTCCTACATCACGCCACCGTCTTTGCATATGGCATATTGGTGAGAATTCGAAGAAGCATATCAAGGCATTGAGGAATCATAAGGATTTTCTGGATATGTTCAATTGTGTGTTGAAATACACCGAGACTGAAGCTGAATTTGAGGTTTACTGGACAAGGTATGTTATTATGAATTTACATTATATAATTCTGAATTTTCTGTTATGTCATTATGGATTTTCTGTTATGTCATTATGTATTTTCTGTTATATGATTTATGAATTTTTTAATATGAGATTATGAATTCACAGTTATACAATTCTGGATTTTATGTTATGTCATTATGTATTTTCTGTTATGTCATTATGTATTTTGTGTTATATGATTATGAACTTTGTAATATGAGATAATGAATTCACAGTATACAATTATGTATTTTCTGTTATGTCATTATGTATTTTCTGTTATATGATTATGAACTTTCTAATATGAGATTATGAATTTTCAGAATATGAGTAATAAACATGTGTTTTAACCTTTTCAGGATGGTTACAAAATATAGTTGTCATAAGAATACATGGCTAGAGAAGCTTTATGACTGTAGGGAGAAGTGGTGTCCAGCGTTCAACAAGGATTATTTCTCCGGGGGTATTTTATCTTCGCAAAGGAGTGAAAGCACAAATCATGCAATTTCTAGGAGGCTGTCCAAGACTGCTGGTTTATGTGATTTTTATTCATCCTTTGTGAGTGTTATATCTGAATGGAGAAGTAAGGAAAATGGCGAGGATTTCCGGTGTTCTCAAGGAGTACCCGCCATGATGATGGATCATGTGAAACTCCTTTCACATGCTAGAGAGGTTTATACAATTGAGATTTATTTTTTGTTCGAGGAACAATTTATGAAAGGTAGCTCTTGTTATCAAGAAATGGTGTTGAACGATGGTTGTAAGTGCAAGTATCACGTGTGGCGACCAGACATAGATATCATAAGGCATGAAGTAACCTTTAAGGCAATCAATTTGGATATATGCTGTAGTTGCAAGCTGTTTTCAGAATTGGGAATACTTTGCTGTCACTGCTTACGTATACTTCATGTGCACTGTGTTTCCAGTATTCCCGATAAATACATTCTAAAAAGATGGACTAAAAAGGTTGTTGAGGGTAGAAACGTGGACATTGCATCTGTGTTTTATAATGGTGGTGTCCCTTCTTCAATTTGGGCTGTTGAGATTAGTAGGAAATTTCAAAGGCTTATTGTTTCTAGCCAAGATAACAGTGTTGCTAGACAATTCTGTGA